ACATATTCCTTCCTCTGGTTTGCTTTTAGCTCTTAACTTCAATTTTTAATGAACAAGAGAGTTTTGGCTAGAACACCCCATGAGGTCTCAAAGCCCACAGCATATCAGTAACTTCAGCCCAAGCTGTGAAACTTTTGTCAGCAGAATAACTTTGAAGTTGCTGGATTTCTGCAAGAAGCATGGTTTTGACCTAAAAGTAGAGAATTTTAGAAAGGATAAGATGAAGAAAAATCCAAATGGCATCCAACCTGTGCCCCAGTCCTTGAAAGTTGAGTTTTATTCCTCAAATATTATCTTTCCTCTGAAACTGGCTTTCTCTTCAAACTACAGTGCTTTCAAATGGTCTGTGTGCCTGCCCACACCTGGCAAAGGGCTGACTGACAGTTTAAGGTGTTACACAGATTTTTATTCCACAGCATCCTGTATGTATTGAAGTGGCAGTAATGCCTTGGACAAAACAGAAGGAAAGGAAAATTACAGGAAAGAGAATTCTAAAATACTTGGGGGGAGGATGGGAGGTGGAAGGAAGTATGTAGGTATGAACACATTCACACAAATACACAAAATTGATATGAACTTATTTACATTTCAAAGCTGTAGCTGATAGGAAACCAAGGAGATTTCTGTCCTGAGGTTTTAAGTCAGCTGCTCAAGAGCTAGGGGCTCTTTACCAAGTCAGATCTGAGTTTATATTTCTGATATATACAAAAGCTTAAGAGCCAATCTCACCAGCAGAAGAAGAAACATCTGCCCCACACAGACCTTCTGTCTGCATAGTCCCCATGTCAAACACCCTACCTTTTTAACCAAATTCCCAAAACCTCCAATGTGAATGGCATTCCTTGATGTCATATAACAGCGAAAGGAGAATTAATAAAAGAAAAATAGATAAGAAAGTAAGAGAGAAAGAAGTGTGTAGGGAAGAGAATGAAAGTTTGTTTTCACTTCTCAGTATCACTCACCCATACATGCACACTGAAAAAATGGCAAGGAGGGCACTCACAGACCACTACATATTGCACTTGTCAAGAAATAGCCAAGCAGTCAAGAAAACCATGCCTATCTGTCATATCTGTCTTGCATTTATATATTGATCATCTGTGTGAAGTGACCACATTCCTTTAGTAGGCTCCAGTCACCAATGACCTGTGTAAAATCAGTTACAAAAATGCAGTGATCAAGATATTATTGCTTTTTCTTTCCACACTCAAGTCAAATTCCTGTATTTTCTTTACCTAACTCCTCCCACCTCCTGCTACCTCTTCCTTTAAGCTGCTAACTTGTGGCATTTGTCACAGACAGAAAGCACACATTTGGAAATAAGATGCCTGGAAAAACCTTAATACAGCTAAAAGTGTTGCTCCACCATATCAAAATAGTGATACCAACAAATGACAAAGGACAAATTAAAACTGCACAGAAAGAAAGCAGCATCTTCCCATCACTGCCCCACTGGCATGTCCTTTACCAAGTGTCTGAGCTCCTTCAAACCTCTCCTAAGAGTGCAAGAAAGATTCGGACAATGACACCTGTCACCTTTGATGCTGCACTGAGCTCAGTTCCAATTTCCTGTGGCATTCCACCAGACCTCAGAAATATTACTGCCTACTGCCTCAGGCTAAACCAAATTAAAGAATCTCTTGGTTTAAATTTCCTATTCCACCAAAAGTCCCCAGAAGCACAGCTGTCACTGGACTCCCTGGAAATAACTATATGCATGGTTAATATTAAGGGACATTTAGTATCCTTGCATTCATTTTTGACCTATCTGCAGTTTAAGATTCACACAAAGTGGCAAAACCAAGAAATACGGTCAAGTCCCACAAATTGAGTTAGAACTTGTTATCTAAACTATTTTGGTAATACAGAGATATCAAAGACAAAAATATGTCAGCTTTCAAGATAAACAGGGAAAACAATTCAAGTAAGAAACTAAGATAAGCTTGTGCAGCTTTGGGTTTTTTGGCACCCGTCTGTTGACACACATGCAAGCTGTATTTGAGTTACTTAAATATAAGACATTGGTCACTTCTAATACATGATGCCAATAGTTTTTGTGTTTCTATTTCATATTGTTTAGGGCTTATTTTTCCTGAACTGTTGGATTTTTTGTCATCTAAAATATAAAGCTATTTAGTCACTTAGCAGTGACTAAAGTAAAGTAAACACACAGCAGCAGCAGCAAAGACCCTCTGTGACTACTGTATAAAATTTCTATCTTGATTTGAGCCATACTGAATTTAATTATTTTAATGATAGCTGCTCTCACCAGGAGGTCACACAATAACATTTCTCAGCCTGTAGGAAGAACACCACCAATACTGTTTTCTGCTCCTCTGCTCTATGCTTTAAGGAAGCATCTTCTTTCACACAGCTCTACCTGTTAAATATTGTGCAAAGATGCCATTCATTTGACTGAAAAAACATGTATTATAAGGCAGGCCTGCGCTAGAAAACCACTGATTTTAGTTGAGGATAATGAATACCTCTTCAGGTCATTTTAATTCAGCCCCTAGTTTTTATTCCCTTATAAAAAAGATCAAGTCAAGCACAAAGCAACTATGTACCCCATTTTATTCTGCACGTTAATTCAGTGAGCTCAGTAAAAGGACTCTGGCAAGCAAACTTATTAATACTTCAAATCTGGGAGACCAAAGGCACCAGCTCTTTCCCCTTTCCAGTTTTGTAAGCGGGTGCAGTGTCATGGATCCAATAGATGTGCATGTGCTTACAAGTCACACAAGGCAATGGCTGGAGCAAGAAGAGGACTGGGTTTGTGGTCCTAGACTATACATCTTTTTAATCTCATTTTACAAGTATCCTTTACTAACTCTCCTCTGAAACCTGAAATAAACAAATGTGCTTTTGCAACTCTTGCCTGTACCATAACTAAAATATACACCCGAAAACACAAACCAGAACATTACTTACTGCCAAGCTCTGAACAAACACAGATACAATGCTAGTAGATACATAATGATTGTTATTTTCTACTCATACCCTTCATACTAGACATGTGACGAAAGTTACTTTGTTTGCAAAGCTTAAAATTCTTGAAAAGCCAAAAAAAGCACTTTGGAGTATTCCTACTTCTCTGAGTATTGGATTACAGGATGTGCAGGCAACTGACTGACAAGTGTAAAAACAAAAAAAAAATATTATTTATGCTTGCATAAGATCAAAAGCATACACAGTAAATATTTCTGACAATATGAGGACTATTCCTGAATAACCATCACATAGAATTGGAGTGGAAAGGAAAGGCTCATCTTCAGCTCTTGTACAGAGGCTTGAAGTATCCCTAATCCCTCTCAGAGCTGATGAAAGCATGAGCACTGGAAAGACCTGTGTCAAATGCTGGATCTAATGATTTCAGAGGAGTCAACATTTTACCCAACATTGAATGTGAGAGATTTAATTTGTAAGCAAACATCAATCAGCCTCCTTAGCCTGCAGGACCCTCCAGAGTGGTAAAACAGAGACACTGACAAATGTTTGGGTTTTAGTCCTTATTACTGCTACTCTCATTTAAAATCCTTCTGGTAAAAATAAGTAGATTTCCCTTTAGGTGTCTTCCTTCTATATTGTGAATGGAAGCATATAAAGAGTTTTACTTACACTTGTACTTTCTGATTTGAATTTCTAATGGTCCTTATTGCCTCTTGGATGTCAGGCATAGTACAAGATACTGTGCAGTCTGCATCAATGTGCCCGGGTTCTGCCCATCTCAGCACACCACAGATCTCTCCCAGCTATATCTAATGCAGGGAGCAATTTATTTCAAAACATTTTTAATTACCATACTTGTTTCTTTGTCTCCATATCCTGTACCTCTGTTCTACTCATTCCTGATGAACTAGCTCAGTTGGTTAGAGCATGGGGCTAATAATGCCAAGGAGCACATGGAACACACAAGGTAGGATCGCAAAACTATGACTTCAAAAGCTGATTCAATGTCCTTAAAGTAAACACTGCATACCTAGATTTCAAAAGACTAATGAGATGGAACAAAAAAGGTCAATCATAGCAAAAGTTGGAAATTACTCCAGGCGAGGATATCTTGAGTAAGAGTTCAGACATCATGCTGCCACAAGTCCTGGGTCAACACTTCACCTCTCTATGTGTCAATGAAGCAAATAGCTTAAATGAATTGCATCTAAGAGGGCACACAGCTGTGTAAATCTGCACCCTCTGGGCACAGAGTGCTTACAGCAGTAAATACCCAGAGTAAAGCAGAGGTGCCCAAGTACACAGGGGTAACGAGCTATACCTTCACTTGACCTGAGAGACTTCTCAGTGCAACTGAAGATCAGAGAGGTTCAGCTTTTACCAAACAAGAGAAACGTTTGACTTGGAGAGCATTATTCAGGATGTCATGGTACTCATTGAGTGTAAATCTACAGTAATTCTATAATAGAAGCTGGAATAACAACAGTTTAAAAAAGGTGACATTTAGAAAAGAATTGGCAATCTTCTTGGTTTGTTTTGCATGGACTAATTAACAATAATTACAATCTGCACTAATGAGGTGAGTGTTACCTAAGTGTAAGCAGAAAAAAAAAATCTCCTAAGCAATTCCCTGTCTAAACATTAGGTCTTCCTCCAACTTAGATACATCCCATACCAGTTTATTTTAATTACCCATAAGCAACAAGGGGGAAAGCCACTCACATCTTAGTCATATAAGTCCAGATTTCACTAGTACACGGATGAGTTACAAAGACCTCTGTAACACGGCTCAGGATGGAAATCCTGAGAAGTTGTTGAATCTAATGATGCAATAGAGAGATTAAATTTACCTCACAAACCATTCAAATCTGGACAGAGACAGATGGAGCTATCAAATGTTGCTATTTCAGGAGAAAAAATTTAAATAGTGAAAACATTGTTACAATATCAATTTAGAAAATATAAAATCTACTAAAGTCTGACTTCCTTAGTCCACAGAGGTCTCAAATGCTACTGCTGAAGGATTGATGCTACAATTTAACTGTGCAGATATTCTGAATTCATATATTACAAATGTTCCTACCCAGCTGCTCTGTACCCCATGAAAAAAGAGCTGAGTTTCATTGTCCATCCACAGGACCTGGCTTCAAATCCTGGCTTCAAGTGCTGGCTCCAATTCCACTCCTTCCTGAGACTCTAGGAAAACAATTTAACTGTTAATGGCCCAGTACTAATGCTGACTAACCCTGCACAAACCCTCTGATCTATCACAATTCAACTCATGAATTCTTTTGAAGCATGCAAGTTAACATGACACTGCTTTCTGCTCATCCACTGGGATTGCAAAAAATTCACTAAACAGTCTCCTGTCTCCTCCCAAGAGCAAGTCTTGAGCAGGCACAGAGTCACAGTCTCAGCTTTACCCAACAGCCCTTCCCCTGTCCTTGGAAAGACTTGGAACCCAGCAGACAGCATGCTGCCCTGCCTGCTCCATCACCCAGGCACAAGTTTGGGCAAACCAGGAGCTGAAGCCAGCTGCAGCTGACCATAGCATAAAACAAGTCCCTATCTTGGTCAAATATTGTTGTCTCAATCTCCCTGCTTTACACTGCGAACCTAAAATGACTTTGCTTCATCCTCTGGACAGCCATGTTATTTAATGAATGGGAACTAGCCTACAAATCTGTAACACCACCCTGGTTCTTGTCACTGCATTCAAAGTGATACAGCGCCAAGAAAAAGTAAGCAAAGTTCTTTTCCCATCCCCCACTTCTTCACATACTCCGAATATTAGCTCTGCAGAAGTTCATACAGACAACATGTACACACACACACACAAGTTAAAAACCTGTGCTTTTACCTTCTGCTTGAACTTGTCATGCTTTGGTTTCCAGCCAAATGTTCTTGCCATGTCTTTGACAACAGGATTGAAGATCCCTCTATTCTCAAAAATTATTCCCTGTGTGGGTAAATTATAGTTGTCACACCATTCAAAAACCTTCTGAACGCTCACTTCTACCATAATAATTTAGCAAATAAAACTAGTCAGGTTTTTCTTTTTCAAAGTAGGTGTTTGTAGACAAAAATTGACTTCTCCATATTAAAAACAGGCAGGAAAAATCCTAATATTTTTGAAGAGAGATTGGGAGATTTTGTTACTTACTTTGACAAAACTTATGGTCTCAATTTTTTTTTTTTTTCTGTAGTTGATTTCTTTCCTTCTTTTTCCCAGATTCTTTCAATTCTTGTAGTCAAATCAAAAAGTAGGAGGCAGACAGATGAAAATGGCATTTAAAGTTCAAACACTTAATTATAAACTCACAAAATTTAAAACTTTCTCTTGAAATTTTCAAACTTTTATTAGTACAAAAACTGGAAGCATGAAAGGGTTGCTATTCTCTTTGCTAAAGCAGCTCTGTATCTGGGCAAGTTACAGTCTCTCATTAAAATTATACTCTTCAAATTAAAATATATAAACATGTAGTTTTGAAGGCATATTCTCCTCTACTACCCAGGCTCTGAAATGCACTTTGCCTCCTTTCTTTTCTTAATTTTCCTTCTATCTGCATTGCTTCTGATGTTTGACTGTAAGTTATTTTGCTGTTTTAAGACACAAAGGAAAACATTCAAATGCCACTGAAGGATAAATATATACAGAAAAACAATCATGAGCAGTGTAAATTTATTACTTCTATCTGTATAACAAGATGACCTTATTTGCAATATATCATATTCATTGGCTGTTACATAGTGTCCTTTGAAATCTGTTAATTCTGTAGTAATGTCTTAATAATATCAAACTGTGTATATTACAAAGCACATATATCATCTCATGTATTGAAATAACTTCTCATTATAGCATTTCCTAACTCCTACATCCCCATTTGACAAACATTTAAACAATTTTTACCTCATATTTTAAAGTATGGCTGACAAATGCAGAAGATGAATACTTCCAGGAAAACAGGGGAATAGTAATGAGTATACTTCTTATCTATGACATTGCATTTTTCTGTTTTCATTGTTCACAGCGCTAACACAACGCTGCTTCAAAATGCAGTTACTGATAGATGAAAATCACTAATAATGGTACATTCTTCCTTTCATCTCCTCCCTTAAATCCGAGTGGTTTGAAAACTAAATTATACTTTAAATATAAGAACTATCAGAAAGCTAGTCAGGAGAAGAAATCTAGGCTTTATTTTAACTGTTTCCTCACCCAGAAAAATTTCCAAAAGCATAAATAAATTATTGATTTAATGAATTAATTAAATAATTAATAAAATCACTTTCCTGCTATCAGTAACAGGAAAAAGTGAGTTTGGTTCTCCAATCAAAATGAAATTTAAGAACAGAAAGTAGAGGGAGGGAATAAATATGAAAGCCCACAAGTAATCACTGAGGTCACCTTCTGAACCACACACCGATTTTTCTGACAACAAACCTACTCTAATTTAGAATAGAGGTTGACAATGAAGTTCCTGTGGTCACAATACTCCATTGTATCAGCCAAATTAGTGTTTCTTTTATTCATAATGTCCTTGTGTTTTGCTGTCCAAAGTCACTTAGGTGAATTTAGTGAATATATTTTCACAACAGTAGATCAATTGGAAAAGCTTAGGAGCATATAATTATTCCATATCATTGCATTTTACTGCTGTGATAGGACAAACCTATCCAATGGGGGAAAAATAGATCCATTTCAGAGCACAGAAGGTTTATTTCTTTCTATTTCTGTCTTTTTTTTTTTTCTCTCTAAATGTCCCTGGCTTTTATACTTTCATAAGTAAAATGATTCACTGCAGGAAATGAAGCGTTAGCGCAGCTTCACGACATTTCGAAGCTACAGCTGTTTCAATAACAAGAGTTTTATCCCTGAATGTACTAGTAGCACTTGGAGCTGAAAGCATCTATTGAGTGAGGAAGGGCTTGACCCTTTGCTCAGTGACTTCAAAGTTGTGAGTCATATGGCCCGAAAAGAATCCCAGAAGTCTTTAGAAATAACAGTGTAACGTAACCATTGTGCTACAAATGGCTTCTGTAAAAAAGCACATCATTATGCACCAAACTACATAAATGAGTCTGAAAAATTTACCCACACTTTTCAAGGGCTAATTGCAAAGAAATAGAAAGCTGCAGACCTGGAGAGCTCAGTCTCCCTGATCTGAGAGGAGCTGGTTCAGTCCCACTGCCATCTGTAGCACAGGCAGGCTCTGGGCTGTGCTCTCCTCAGCAGAACATCATTTGCTAACATCTAAATAAATTGCTTTGTCATAGGAGAACGGTTAGGAATCACAATTATTAACAACCGTACTGTTTTCCACCTTCTTCAGCAAAGATTGCTTCATTTACCAATAGGAGAATACTCTCTCTTTGCCTTTTCACAAACCTTTTCTCATAGCTTCAGTGGGAGCTTCCACCTCCCAGGAGCCTCAGCCAGAGTCAGTAGGCAATGAATGAGTCTCTAAAAAGGAAGCAAATACCTGCAGGTGTTGCTGATCAACTGCACAAGAGGTAGCAGCTACTATAGCACAACCTCATGTCCAATATCATGAAGGTAAAAGAGGGAAATATATTTTAACTACCTTCAAAAATATAAATAATGTGGAGGAAAGAACTTCTCCATCAACAAAACCAGAGAGAACATATTAAAAAAATAGAAAGAGGGAACTAGGAAAAAAGTTGAGGAAATCAATTATCTAGAAAAAAATTACTAATATTGGTTCAAATGAAGGAAGGGGTAAATAACTGGAAAGGAGACAAAACAAAGGAGAAAAATACTGCACACAGAAATATCAAAGGCAGGAAAACTGCTATGAAATAAAACAAAGGAGACCCTGGGGAAGAAAGGATGGGAATGAATGCTTATTCAACCCAAGAGCTGTGAACATTAGGTAAACAGACAGTACCAACGTTTAGAAAAGTATTTATATAAGAAATTAATCTACAAGCAGGGTTCCATCTTGTTAGTAATCTGTGGTTTATGTAACATCCTTATTAGAAATCTGAACAGTTAAAATGGATGTCTGGGTGGCACAGCATCACTGAGGCTGGACACTGAAATAACCTGGGAAAAAGTCCTAAATCCAAGCAATACAACAAATTCCAGCAAATCAACAAAGGAAAGCTGCTGCAATGAAATGCAATTTGGAAAGATTCAATGAATTCACAATCAGCCTTGACTCCTCAGGAAAAGACATCATCTCTTTATGGTCATATGGGCAGCTTGATTAAAATCTTTTGCTCACTATTATGGAAAAGATGCACTTCGATGTGTGAACCAAATTCCTTTCCAGTAAAGAGGCATTGGTTAACTGTATCTTGAAGTACTTCTAAGAGAACTTGAGTAATTCATGATTCTTAAAAGACACAGAAGAATGAATACTAAAGAATGCAATGAAAACTTTGTCTTCCTTTATATGGGTTTTTTAATTCAACAAATCCATACCAAAAAATAAAAAGCGATAAAGCTGAATCTGATGTGAAAAGACATATTTTTCAAATAGGCCATGAATAATAAAATGTTCCCCAAAAGGATTGGCTTGCCAGACATGCAAGGGCCAGAAGAAACTGTCTGATGACAGCTCATCCTTAATTTTCCTGCCTGCAGCAGACTCTAAAGGGTTAAGTACATGACGGTTTTTTCCTATTCAAAACTGTGCAACCTATTTCCTTACCCAGAACATCTCATGTATTGTGTTAGAGCACAATGGAAGTATTCAGAAATTCTTGTGATTCATTCATTTTCTGTCCTTGGCTTTAGGAATGCTTAGGCTGCTGGCTAGGAAAGTGTTACTGTGGAATAACACAAGTGCTCTGATGAAAATTACTTTGGATTTTTAATTCACCTCTTCTGGACTTAGGGTGACACAAGCTGAAGCAAAATCTGGCCTCTTCCACTTCTCACATCCTTAAAATAAATTCGTGAAATATGGCTTCATCACCCTTTTCCTCAGATATAGGAGCAATACTGGGTTAGATCACTAATGTTAGAGAGTTGATAAAGCCCAAAGCAATACAGTGATTTTGTCCAGCAGAGAGATCAGGTCTATTATTCTGTAAGGATCTTAAAGGTGATAAAACTTTCCATTCTGGAAGGATACTGCTATCAAATGTGCATCAGCTTCTCCTCATTTAAACATCCATTTGCATCTGAAAAGATCCTAAATTGTATGTGTGCTCCACATGCAATGCTTCACAGTAATCAAATAACAGGGCTAAGAATGACATGGATGCTTCAGTGCTACACATGAGTGCTTATGGTTACTGATACCACAGAGTTACTTATCTGCAATTAAAGATGATCTAGAAAACCACTGCAAGCCCTTAAGCCCTCAGAAAAGCTGGGAATAAGATAATACAACTGCATGGGCAGGGAAATGTCTCATGGACAGGTAGCTTGTGGCTCCATCTCAGCTCACCAGGCCTCCAAATATGATCTCCTCAATCTTACTCCTGGGTCAGGTATCCACATAAAGGACAAGCCAAACTGTAGGTTCTGGCTTGGTTTATTTAGAATATGCCAGAAAAAGGAAGAAACTTTCTATGAAAACAAAACTACAGAAGATAGAATTAATTCTTTCCAGGTTAGGATTCAGGCTGATCCAAGAAGCCTATCTTTTTCCCACATCTCTTGGGAAGATGGAAAATTTGCTTACTCTTGCCCTCAGGAAAGGCAAATTGTGTATCAGAATGTTAGGTTGAGCAAAATAAGGAGCTTGTGCCCAAATTGTTTCTCAGACTGCAGAAACCAAAGCTCTAAAAGATTATGGTATCTCCTTGCTGAAAGACAAAAACTATGTTCTTTAATAAAAGATGCTGTTACAAAGAGGATTTTCTGCTACATACACACATCATTCCAATTTTGATGAAAGTCTCATAAATAAAATTAACAAAACTGTCTCTCTCCCTGGCAGGTCATTTTTTATTATACCCAAATTTCTTAACAAGTAGCAATTACCAAGCCACATTGCCTGTAAGTGCACCCAACAGTCACAGACTACAGGATGACATATTATACCCATGAATACCTCACAATTGAAATACATTTTCCCTATGGGACTACATCACTGCTTGATTTAATTTTTCCTGACATTTGGCCTGGAGCTTCTTTAAAGAAATGAACTTAGGATGGCTTTGCTGACAGCAAAGGACAAACCATGGCTATATACTCAAATCCTACTTAAATCATGCACACTACCCTTTTAAAACACTGATCCTGCATAAATTGTAGGACAGTCACTGGGATCTATTAGTCAGAGTTCATCTTCTACTGTTTGAGGATGAGCTATAGGTCCACATAAGCAGTACAAAAGGTCCAGCATAAATCATACAACTGCAAAGGAATAAACAGTTTCACCAGTGGCATATTTATCGATGTGGAAGGAGATATGCCAACTCGTCAGAATCCCTACCAGAGTTTTACAGCCTCAGTAGTTCTTACTATGAATCATCCCTATTCTGGTTTGGATTGGTTTCTTTTTCCTTCTCCTCTACAATGTTTGCTAAAATAATGGTACCTAAAAAGAGTCCGTTTCCAGAGAGAGAGACAAATGGAGAACCTTATTGTAAACCAAGGGAAAAGAGATAGGTTAGGAATTAGACACTACAATGTTTCTAATAAATCTCTTGTCTGAAGAGCAGCCAAAAAAGTCTACATTCATTCCCCAATTAGGTTATATATTTCTGTAACATTATTGAGCTGTTATTAATGTTATGAAGTTTTCTGTTTCTTCAAATACTAATGTCTATTTTAAGTGACACATTGACAAGCTCAGAGAAGAAAGTGCTCTGGCTTTGATAGAGGCGCAATACCATCTACAGAGTATCTGCAATGGTTTCATGAGAGCATCTCAATCCTGTGCATGAGAACCAAACTGTAGCTGCGTGATCTCCACTTCTCTTGGAATCCTTGGTTTCAGTATTGAAGGGAACTGAATATATCATAAGGAAGAAAACTACCTAGTTTTAATGGTGTAAAGCTCCAGGAAATTATTTGTATTTTAATTTACTTATTGTCTCAAAAAGACATAGAAATCGTTCCCAAAATAAAAAAGGAAAACTATGGGAAAAAATGAAAATTAAGGCTGAATTAGGCCTGGCTCTAGTCTCATTCCTCTGAGGACAGTTTTCTCTGAGCTCCACATCTTCATCACTGAGTGGTGAGGTCTAACAATAAATACTCCTCAGCACAAACCCATCCAAAGTGGCATTCCAGTAAGACATCAAGTAACTGCCTGTATCCCAACAGGAGCAGAAAGTATTTCGTCCATAAGCAGACTGGTCACCCAGGAAGCAGCAAAACACTGTGATAAGTCAAAGCAAGGCAAAAAGCACTGTTTGTATATACCATTACACTAGATGCACTCTAGGTTTTGTGACTCTCCTTGGACATTTTGAAGCACTTCATCTAAAGACAAGTTTTTCAGGCATTTTATAATTTGTTCCACATAATTATCTCTAAACTCAATTTTTTCTTATGCTCTTTTATTTTCCTCCCAATCCTCTTTTCTCTTTGCCCTCTAGAGCAGCTTGTCCACCTGCAGCACATAAGAACACATGCATGGAATAACCCATTTCTGGGTTAAAAATGGTTAGTTCAGGATTAAAAGTGGCAACGGTTCACCAATCTTTGAATTCACGAATCTTTGAATAAGTGACTAAATGCTTAAAAGCAGCTTAGTTCTCTCCCATGAATAGCAAAACAGAGAAATTGGACACTTTCAAATGGCCACTATTCACATTTCTCATTCTTTCAAATGCACAGCCTGTTTGTTTGTAGAAACCATTGGACAATATGCTCCAGGATTAGGCCTCAAGAATAATCTCTTTCCTTTTTCATGCATCTACAGGATTACCAGTGTTCTTGTTATCAGGGTATCTTTTTGTGCCCAAGCAATCTTTTAGAGCATGGAGAAACAATCCCATACAATTAAGTTCCTGCTTATCATACAAACCTTGGATGAAATGTTCTCACTGAAAACATGAAATTAAATTAATGTAAACTACCACTAAGTAAAGAAATTTAAAGGTTTCAAAGATAGAAAAATTGCCTGCATGAACCATTTTTCACACAGTGTTGGTGAATTTTGTATGTTTTTTTAAAAAAATCCTCCCCACCTTCAAAAAGAAGTGAAAAAGATTCAATACAATCTTTAAAAATATTTCATTTTGCAAAGGCAAAAATGCCTTTTACGCAGTTAGATGTGCACAAAGAACCTAGTCTGAATCATACCTCTCAAGAACAAATGACAGCTCCTTCCAGTTCAAATGAACTGAGCTCTTTTTCAAAAAATCAATTTTTTTTTATGGGTTCTTACTCTCTATTCTGCCCCTCTGGCACGCCTGATCTGTGCCTCCCTTTGCCCATGTTACTCTCAGTAATGACGATTTTCACTCTCCAATACTTTAACTCAAGCTCCTCACCT